ACCTCTCCTCCCTAACTGGGTAATATATTGCTTAAATCTCTCTTATCTGAGCAACAGAGAACAGAGACCCAATTAATGCCATTTGTGCCAGCTAAACCCAAGGACAAATGAAGTCAGAGGAACAAAAAACAAAAACTCCTCCCTTAAAAGCCAGGCAAACCCAAGATAAAAGTAAAACAGTACAGCCGACCAAATGATGGTCTCCTCCCATATGCTCATTGTGATACACCAGCATATTAAAAACAGACTTGGAAGACTAATGAACATTCTGCTGAAACCCTCCCCTAAGATTCTCACCTGCAGAAGAAAGATAGTAACACTTAAGACAAAGACCAGGAGACAGCTCGCTGTAGTCTAGAGCATGACTGTGCCCCTTCGCAGGCAAGAACTTTTTACTTCCTCCTAAACTCTAAGTGTCCCCATGACACCTGCAGCCAGGGGAGCAGTGGGCAGCAGCTCTCCCCAGGGTTTCCCTCTGATCCTCTCTCCGAGGCCCCCCTTTTTCTCTTACTTCCCAAAGAAAGCTAAAAAGCAGCCCCACCGTGGCTCACTTCTTTCCTGTAACATTTTCAGACAGCCGAGGCAGGGCACGGCCTAGGCTCGCTCTATCCTGTTGCTTCTTCTACCCTAAGTCCTTCCTTACTTTCGCCGTCCTCAGCTTTAATAAACATACTTTCAGAATCACCTGGACTTGTGTTGTGAAATCCTTCCTACAAGAAGTCAAGAACCCACACACTTCACGCTGACCTGAGGCAAACCTGCTCCAAGCCAGTCCCTGTCCAGTAACATTATGGGAATTCTAGGTTTAACTTGGCCCATATACTTACGGGTTTAACTAAACCCACCCATCTATGGTCAGCTGCTCTTTAATATGGTTTCCAACACCATTCAATGGAGAAAGAATAACTTATTCAACAAATGGTACTGGGACAACTGGATATTTACATGCAAACAAATGGAGGTGGATCCCTACCTTACATGATATACATTAACTCAAAATAGGTCAGAGGCCTGATTTTAAGAGCTTAAACTAAACACTGTTAGAACATAAGGGAAAATCATCAAAACTTGGATTTGACAAAGGATTTTTAGATCTGATAGCAGAGGCATAAGCAATGACAAGAACAATAGAAAAAAATAAATTGGTCTTCATCAAAATTAAAACCTTTTGTGTTTCAAAATATATCATCAAAAAAGTGAAAAGACAAACCCACAAAAAATGGGAGAACATATTTTTCTTTTTTTCAAATTATATACCCAATAAGTTATATAATTATCATGTTGCATACCTTCTTTATATCTGCAATGTATGAAGAATTCTTACAACTAAAAGAAATCTCAATTAAAACAGGTAAAGGATCTGAATAGACTTTCCTTCAAAGATTTTATTTGCATTGCTCATTGGTTATATGGAAAAATATGCATACTGGAGAAATATATACATGACCAATAGCACATGAAAATATGATAACATCATTAATCATTAGGAAAACGCTATAAAAAAACCCCTATAAAATAACAAGTGTTAGTGAGGGGGAGGCTACAGAGAAATAGAAACCCTCACACATTGCTAGTAGGAATGAAGGTGGTGCAACTGCTACAGAAAACAGTTCAATAATTCTTCAAAGAGATAAACATAGACCTACCATATGACCCAGCAATACAAGACAAATGAAAACATACACCCACACAGAAACTTGTATACAAATGTTTATGGCGACATTATTCCTAACAGCCAAACAACCCAAATATCTGCCAAGGTGAACGAATAAACTATGGTATGTCCATATGATGAAAGAGCATGAAGTCATAAAAAGAAATGAAATATTGACATGTGCCACCACTTGGATTAACCTTGAAAACATTATGCTAAGTAAAAGGAGTCACACACAAAAATCACGTATCATATGATTCCATTTATATAAACTTTCCACAACTGGCAAATCCACAGAGAGAAAGAAAGCATACTAGTTGTTGCCAAGGGGATGATGGAGGCTGAAAGGGGGAGAGTGACTTAAATGGTCCAATGGGGTGCTCTGGGGTGATGAAAAGTTCTGAAACTAAAGATTTGTGGTGGTTTGATAGAACTCTAAATGCAGTAAATTAAATACCACTGAACTGTACACTTCAAGATGGTTTAATCTATGTTACATGAATTTCATCTCCATGTTTTTTATAAAGGGAATGAAGTAGTACATCAATAATGAAACCTGAGCTCTGGCTGCTGTGGTTCAGTGGGTTGGCCTGTGAACTGAAAGGTCTCTGGTTGGATTCACAGTCAGGGCGCATGCCTGGGTTGCGGGCCAGGATACTCTTTGGGGGCATGCAAGAGGCAACCAATTGATGTTTCTCTTGTACATCTATGTTTCTCTCCCTCTCTTTTTTCCTCCCATCCTCTCTCTAAAAAAATTAATAAAATCTTAAAAATAAAAAAAAAGAATGAAACTTGAAAACATGAAGCAGAAACATGCTAAAAGAAGCCAGTCACATATTGTATGGTTCTGTTCATATGCAAGTCTAGAACAGGGAAATCTACAGAGACAGAAAGTAGATTAGAAGTTGCTCAGAACTAGGGGCAGGTGGATGGGGGATATGGGGCTAATAGCCGATGAGCATGGGTTTTTTTTTTTTTGAGGTAATGAAAATGTTCTAAAAGCAACTGTGATGATGGTTGCAAATATCAGTGAACATGCTAACTACTATTGAATTGCATACTTTAAATGAGTGAATTGTATGGTATGTGAATCATATCTCAGTAAAGCTGCCTCAAAAATAAAAGCCACTAATTATAACAATAAATTGAATTAGTAATTAAAAACATTTTCCACAAAAATCCCTGGCCTAAATGTCTTCACTGGTTAATTCCCAGGATACAAAAATCAATACACAGCCCTGGCTAGGTACTCAGTTAGTTAAAGTATAGTCCCCAGTACGCTAAGGTTGCAGGTTCGATCCCCACTCAGGACACATACAAGAATCAATCAATAAATGCACAAATAAGTGGAACAACAAAAACAAAGTGGGAACAATTGCAACAGCATAAACAATAAAAACAGAAAAAATAAAAATAACCTTAAAAAACTAGTAAGCATAGTATTCTATATAAAATCCATTCTTTCAATATATTAATCACATAATCTTGTTTAATAAATTTTCTTTCTATCATAATGCTTTACCATATAGTGGCCTCTACTGGCAAAAAAAGGAGAGATTCTGATTAGTTGGCCACTAGTTGCTTTAATTTTTTATATTTATAATGAATCCACTATGCAATCAGGTCATAGAAATGGCTATGGTTTCTTAAAGGAGAATGCTTAAGATTATAAAGTCTAAATTGTGCCCATTCAAAAGAAAGTAGATGAAGTAAGAACAAAAGGAAAAAAGAAGCAAAGGCAAACTCAACTCCCAATCTAAACTACTGCTATAAAATAAACCTTACAAAAATACTTTTTAAAATGACTGATTTGACTGACTAATCTCTCCTAGTCAGTCCAAGAAACAGAGGGCACATTCACAGAAACAAATAAATGAAAATCCCACTAGTACACATTTGTGCTACATAAATAAAATGTAAATTAAAGAAGTAACTTGATTTTTGTACCTGTGAAGGGCGGAATCACACCATGATTGAAAGAGCACAAGCTTGGGCTTCGATTCAAGTCCTGGCTCTACCATTTACTCACTATGTGACCTTGGGTTGAATGTACCAACACCCAGGTCTCCTCCATTTTTTTATAAAATGAAGAAAATACTTTGGCTCACAGCAATCTTTTGAGTATTGCTTTACTCAGTAATCACTTAAATATATTCACTATAATTATTGTTATTTCTGCGTAGAAGTTGACGAATTTTTATTTTAAATGGTCATTAAGTTAAAAAATTACGTATTTGTATGATTTAAATTTACCAAACATTTATTGAGCACCTGTTATGTTGAAAAGACTGTTTAAGCTTTATTTAAAAAGTCATTGAAACACTAAAACTGCTGGAAATAATTAAAGAGATAACCATCAACATTGAAAGATGTTATAATTATCAAATAGTAGTAATGCTTTAACACTGTTTTGTTTTCCTTAAAGCAAGATTATTTCTTTTTGTTAAAGATTTTATTTATATACTTTTTTTTGAGAGGGGTAAGGAGGGAAAAAGAGAAACATCAATGTGTGGTTGCCTCTCGCACTCCCCCTGCTGGGAACTTGACCCATAACCCAGGCATGTGCCCTGACTGGGAATCGAACCAGTGACCCTTTGGTTCGCAGGCTGGTGCTCGATCCACTGAGCCACACCAGCCAGGGCTAACACTGTTTTTATAAGCACATGTATTTATACATTCATAAAAATATATGACTGTAACCTGAAATCAACTGATAGTCATCTCTCAGTAGATAAAGAATAATTTTACTTATTTTTTTCTTGTGTATTTTTTAATTTTTACATGGTGAATATTTAATACTATAAAAAAAGAAAAGTTGACAAGACCTTTAGTAACATTACACACAGATCAGCTCAGACTGTAGGTAGGCTATCGGCATCCTGAATTAGAACTGGAACGACCTACCGCACACAGAATACACTGTGATCTTCAATTTATAAAGATTAAAAGAGAACAAAGAATAACATTTACAATTCATTAAATAAAAGAATCCTTAGATTAGAATGTTATATAATGCTAATGCTGCTTCTAATAAATACATATGCTAATTAACTTACCATTTGGAGTAGTGTTCTAAGAGTAGAAAATTTTTTTTTCACTACCGTAAAATTCTGGGGGGGGAACAGTTAGACGTACATGAGTAGAACATAAAATTATACAAAAGAGTCTCTTGGTTAAAAATACAACAGAACGCAGGGTCAAGCTTTCTGTTGCATCCTTAAAATTTGTTTTAATTTTTAAAAAAACTTCCATACTGTTTTCCATAGTGGAAAGCAATTCCACAAACACACCCTCACCAACACTTGTTTGTTGATGTATTAATAAATTAATGAAATCGAAAACTCACCTGAAAACATTTTTACAAAATCCTCAGTAGACATATTCATCACCACATCTGCCTGACCAGATGGCTCTCCATATCCAGCATTCCCGCTCTTGTTTTTAAGATCAAGAAACCACGTTCCGCCATCCTCACCTACACAGAAGATAAAGATAGATAAATACATGCCCAAGAAGGCCTCTTCTTAAACTCTGTAACTGCTACAAATAGAGTAATTTTATATACTGCTGTTTCCCAGGCTAAAATCCCCAGGCCTCTACCAATTTCAGAAAATATTTATTAAGCACTTATTATGTCCCAGGCACTGGGCTAGGCTTCAAAGACTCTGCAATAACATGGTTCTCATAAAACAGGAATTGGTGGATGATATGGAGTCAGGAAATCCCAACTGAAGCTGAGATTTAAAAGTTAAGTAAGAATTAGCTAAATAAAGAACTGAAAAAAAATGCAGTAGGACCAGAAGGTAGAAAAGAGTGCAAACAGTGGCACCTGCCAGGCTCGTAAAGCAGTCAGATGAGAGCAGTGGGCCACATAGTCACACATTTCATTCTAAGAGAGATGCTGCGGAAGGAGAACGACATAGACTTGTATTTTAAACAGATCATGCTAAGAGCAGTGCAAAGAACATATTGAAGAGGGTTAAAAAGGATGCAAAAGACTAGTTAGGATGGTTGGTGTTGGGTAATTCAGGAATTGAGGATATATGCCTGGATCAGGATCACAGCAGTGGGGATAGAGAAAAGTGGGCATATCTGAGAAATCATCTCAAAGCAGGACCCATTAGGACCAGGTACCTGATTGAATGTTGAAGAGGAAAAGGTGGGGAAGGTGCATGGGAATGATTTACCAGTTTTGGGCATGGGGAACTGTAGATATTGGCGTACTGTTTACTGAGAGAGGACTACTAAAAAAGAATAGATTTAACAGGTAACGCCAAAGGCAGCTACTGGGAATGGTGAGTTGCTTTGGACATTTTCCAATTGTGACAGTCAAGTGGATATGTTAAATTAAGTCTGATTAGGCTAGAAATAGAGATACATAAGTAACCACTTCACATGGTCACTGAAGTCATGTGAGGGGTTGGTGTTGCCTGGCGAAAGTCTGCAGAGTGCTAAGACAGTGACCTGAAGGACATCCTTGAAGGACACGGGAGAAGCCTCTGACCCAGGAGACTGAGAAGGCACGATTCTAGACAGAGAAGGAAAGCAGGGAAAGCTACTGTCAAAGAGGCCAAGGAAAGGGAGCATTTCCAGAAGGAGTGGTCAGAGCATCAAATGCTGCAGAGGTGTGACCAGAATGATAAATGTCCACTGGCAACACAGAAGCCGCCAAAGACCTTGGTGAAAACAGATTCAGTGGAACGGAGAAAAATAATTCCAGAGCAGAGTGAATTGTAGGTGAAAATAATTTTGGCTTATTGTGTTTTGCTGTGTTTGTTTAAAACACAGAATAGACTGAACATGTTAAAATACCTCTGGGAAGGAGGCTGCAGGATGAACAGGTGAGAGAGAGCGCATAATTAACAGCACAAAGTCCCTGAAGAGGCCAGAGGAAATGGAGTCTAGAACTTCATTACTCGAAGTAAGCTCCACGGAGTGCCACAGACTATCAGCTGATTTCTCAAAAGGTACCTTACAGGCAAGAAGGAGAGGCAAAGAAGTATATGGAGTCATGAAAGGCAAGGACCTACATCCAAGATGACTCTATCCAGCAAAGCTATTATTTAGAATGGAAGGGCAGACAAAGTGCTTCCCAGACAAGGTCAAGTTAGAGGAGTTCATCATCTCCAAGCCCTTATTATATGAAACGTTAAAGGGACTTATCTAAGAAATAGAAAACAAAAAAACTATGAACAGTAGAATGACAACAAGCTTACAACTATCAAGTGAGCCTAAAAAAAAGAAAAACAACAAAAACAAAAACTAAGCAAACAATTAGCACAGGAACAGAACAAAGAAATGGGCATCACATGGAGGGTTTTCAGCGGGGAGGGACAGGGGAAGAATAGGGGGAAGAGGTGCAGGGAATAAGAAGCATAATTGGTAGGTATAAAATAGATAGGGAGAGGTTAAGAACAGTATAGGAAACAGAATTCAAAGAGCTTATATGTACAACCCATGGACATGAACTAAGGCGGGGAATGCTGGAGGGTTGGGGGTGTGGGGTCGGGGGGGTTAAAAAGGAAAAATTGGGGAAACTGTAACAGCATAATCAATAAAATATATTTTTAAAAATAAAAATTGTTATTGATAGGAAAGGGGAAAAAAGTGTGCTCCACGGACTGCAGCCCTGTCATCCCCGTCAGAAATGCAGAATTCGGACCCCACCTCGGACCTACCTGCTGACTCAAATTCTGCATTTTAGCAGGAATCCAGGTAATTGGTATGAACATTAAAGTTTGAGATGCACTGATCTAGAGCTGAGTCCTGTTCTGCTGGGAGGGGAAGAAGAGAGGATGATGCCTACAATGGTTAATTAACATCAGATGAAAGGAAGCAGAAGCGATTTATCTGCAGGTTTGTATTATCTCTGTGGAAGAGGAGATGCGACTGTCCACTGACACTGGTAGGGAGGCAGTGAAGGGAGAGACGGGAGATTTGAGGAACACTGAGGTTTAAATAGTAACTGAGGAAAATAAGGCAGTAGGCTGATCACAGAAGCCAAATTCTGAGGTGCTGCTCAGACTCCAGTACAGGGGCAGTGGTGAATTTTTACCGGTACAGATCTACTGGGTGGTGTGATTTTTTCCCCATTTCTCTAGCAAGATTTAGCATTCTGGGTACAACTGTAGGTCAGCCAGACAGTTTGATTCAGCCAGGACTAGGGTTTTGGCAGGTGATAACAGAAGCAGAAAAGGTCCAGAAGGTTAGGATACAGACAGGAGAGTGACTGAACCCTGGGTTCAAAGGGCGGAAAAGGAAGTAAAAACAGGAAGGTGCAAATAGGTTAAGATGATTAAAAAAGAGGAGACAAAGGATAAAAGAACTAATAATGTTAAAGTCTTCCTACAATGGGAATGAGGTAGGCAGTTCTTAAAACTGTCATTAACGTGTGTTAATGCTATATTAAGAATATTGAGATATTTTAAAAAGCTGACTACATTCAGACTGACTGGAAAAATCTCAAAGATAAAAATGGTGAAGTATCCACAGTGGGTGAAAAATTACTATATTATACTACCTGTTACACTGGAAGTATCTGTAATGCAACTTTATATGTGTCCGTAAGTACTGATCTTAACTTAAAAATACAGATCAGTAGCTATTTGTTATTCTGAAAAGTCTACATTCTAGGGTAAGGGTTCTGCATACAGCCAACCAGCCAGGTGATTATAACTGGAGGCTTATTTTCTTCCAAGGGAAATACCCTACTTTCATAAAAGACTCAGATCACCAGATGTAATCCTCACCTGAGAGTTCAAACTGATAGACTGCTTGAGTGGCTTTAACAATGTCATCACTGAGAGAGTTCTTAACAACTCTAAATGTTTCTTCCACAGCTCTAGAACGTGGTTTTGATGGTGACTGCGGCTTTTCTTCTTTCAACTGTGGAGCAGCACCTGTAAAATATCGATGAAGATGGTTTTAAAGCCTAGGCCAGGGCTGTCAAGCTCATTTTCACCGGGGGCCACATCAGCCCCGCAGTTGCCTTCAAAAGGCCAAATGTAACTTTAGGACTGTATCGATGTAACTGCTGCTTAACCAGGGGTAAGGAGCTCGGCACTGCCTCTGGGTAGAAACCAGGTGCCCGGCAGGATAAAACAAGGTGGAGGGCCGGATTCGGCCTGTAAGCCTTGTGTTTGCCACCTGTGGCCTAGGCAACGTAAGGCCACATACAGAATTAATTGACAGAATAGACTGGCTACCAATTAAACCTGTTTGACCAAAATGACTTTAAGTATATTCAGTGATTTCTAAAAGCATAAACTAATGGAATAACAATCAAACATGTCAATTATGATTAGAAATGTAATTGTTTATATTCTCCAAACAAAAGGCTGATTCTCGGATTAGGCTTTAAAAAAGCAAACCACTACTAAACTATACAATGTTTATAATAAATGGACCTAAACAAACTATTGGAGTTTTAGGGGTGATAACTAATCACTCCTTCATCATCCACTGTGAGTTCTAAAATCAAGTAAGAAGAAGCCAGAGTCAGAAAGATGGAGGTATCGACTGTGTCATCATTCGATGCCTCCTGTGTAATCAATCAGTGGAGCTGAATTGGAGATAACAGTCAGTAGACTACAACTATGTAAGCTTTAATGGGAAAGATACATTTAGAGCATTTCAATTACTTAAAAAAAAGAAAGAAAGAAACACAGCTAAGCAGCCCTGACATAGCCTCTCCTGACTTCACACTAAATAAATATAAAAATGTACGAAAAAAAAAGAGACAAATACTAAATTTCACCAAGGCGGACATATGACCTGCTGTCAGAGTCTAGGAAGAAAGGTCATGGCCACTGAACAACACAAGACGACCTGCTGACTATGACTCTGCTCCCTGTGGAATAATGCCCAAAGGGAGAGAATAGGCTGAGCACAGCAACCACACAGTTAGTTCATAAAATGGCAACTCCTCAATATAAATTAATAAATTGAATTTCTGGGGGAGGGATATGCTAATTTAAAGGCCTTGAAGTATTCAGGAGTTAGGAAAGAGATTTAACTTTACTGCTGAAGGGTATGGGCTTTGGAACTGAAGGCGAAATTAAATCCTGGCTCTGCCGCCTGACAGCTGTATGATCTCAGATGTGAGATGAGAATAATACCTGTCTTGTAGGGACATATGTACTAATGAGACAATGCATGCACAGTATGCAGTACAGGGTTTGGCACACAGTAGGTGCCCAATAAACATTTGTTGAAAAACAAATTAAATATATGTGATCAATGAGTGGTTCTTATTATTTAAATCTGGAGTTTAAATGAGCTCAGTTCATGCACATCTTCCTTCAAAAAAGAGATCCAATCTTCAACTGCTAGGCAAAACTCCAGATTTTGAACTTGCCTCTATTAGAGGACCAGTCTCTATTAGACTTTGATAAGCTCCCTAACTCACTTCTACCATCTGTAAACGCCTTCTGAGATAAAGACGGACAGTCTTGTTTTAATATTCTGATACATCCATGTGGCAACCAAACGAAAATCTCATTTTTTTAATAAAAAAAATTAAAATTTAAAAAGAGCTATCTCTGGTTGCTAAGATTTTGAATATTTTTCTCCCTTCTATATTACAAAAGAAAAGTTTCCTAAGTAACTTTTTAAACTATCTCCAACAATTTGGAGAAAGAACAGATAAAAGAGGATTAAGATTAAGCCAGAAAGGTTCAGCATGCAAATGCACTGCAGAAGAGTTTCTGTAAGTTTGCTAAATATATAAAGGAAATTTATTCCTAAATTTCCTAGGAGACATCTAAAGAATTCATGATCACTTTGGAGATCCAGTGTCACTATATAAAAATAAGTGAAGGGCCCAGAAGAGCAACAACTATTCTTGTTAAGAAACCATGAGACAAATTCTTCTCATGGGTATTCATTAAAGAGTGCTTCATCTGCCCTGGTTGGTGTGGCTCACTGGACTGAACATTGATTGGCCTGTGAACCAAAGGGTCACTGGTTTGATTCCCAGTTAGGGCACATGTCTGGGTTACAGGACCAGATCCCCAGTAGGGGACACTCGAAAGGTGACCACACATTGATGTTTCTCTCCCTCTCTTTCTTCCTCTATTCCCCTCTCTATAAGTAAAATCTTAAAAAAAGAGAGTGCCTCATCTGTAAGCTGGTGGTATAAAGCTGGGACACAAAGATTACCATGTAAACTCTGGACCAACTCAAAGGTGCTACTGTTTCTGAGTTACAAAAACAAAACAAAGTAAAACCAAAACCTCCTTTGAAGTTAATTTCTCCCATAAAGTAGTCACATAGCACAAACTCTGTGAATGACATTAGGTATACTTTGATATGACACATTTTTCCTCAAAATAAAATAATGCAACAATACAAAATACCTAAAGTACCTAAAGATAGTGCCATGGAAAAGAAATAAAGCCTTAAAAAGGGTGGAGATTTTTTTTTTCAGACCTTTAAAAATTAAATCAAAAGACTATGTTATGAACTTCTTACTGGTAGGAAAAAAAGACAACCTTCTTTGCTAAAACTAAGACTTCGCATTACTTGTCTAGTTTAAATCACAAAATCATTTAAAAGCAGAAGACAGAAATGTTTAATTCTATATTTTGGAAAAAACACTTAAGTATCTTTATTTTTCTACATAAAATATGGTCTATATCTTACCATGGGATTCCATTTTCTGGGTAATTGTATCTGGGAATTCATCTAAGAAGAAATCTGGTAACAAAGGGTGGCCTGAAAAAAATGACCCCCAAAATAATCAGGTTACTGTAACAACTTCAATATATTAAGATTTTAACACTTGTTTAATAAACATCATATCTGTTTTTATTTAAATAATCATTCTGGTGTGATGGAAAGACCCCCAGCAGAACTGTTAAACTGCCTTATTACTAAGTAAAAACAGTTTCTCCATAATCCAGTTGTCCTCTCCTACGGCAAATTTCATCCAACCACAGTCACCTGTTCACTTACGGCCTTAACTGCTCTTCCAGGGGCCTCTGCTCTCTTCTAGTCACACAACTCTTATGTCTTACACCCCTCCAAGGTGCTTAGGACTCATTTCCTACCTGCCCCGCAAAGAGAAGGGGGTTCCTCATGAAGAAGGACTTGTTCCCCATCTGTCTCTGTCTCTGTTCCTCCCTCTCAAACGGTTAAAGAAAACTAAAGGGCAGGGGTGCACTGGGTTTATTATATCCTAACACTTGTCATAGTACCTGATCACATGACGTTCTCAACGCTTGATAGGATTTTTAATTTAAATCAAATTTAAAATCTTGTACATAAAGATGCTATGTGTTTAGTACCCAAAGTGATAATTACACTGTACTCAGGACCCAGAAGACCTGGGTCTGGTTCAGGTTCTGCCTCTTACTAGCTACTACTTTTAGACTGAGGCTCAATCTCTTCGAACATGTTTTTCTACTTGAAATAGTAACTACTGAATACTGTGATTATAGCATATGCCAGGCACTGTGCAAAGCACATTATTCATATTATTGCATTTAGTTCTGACAAAAATCCTGTATGGAAGGTAACACTCCCTTACTTTTTACCAGTAAGGAAAAGTAAAGCTCAGAGAAACTGGGTAACACATTTAAAGTGCAGCGGAACTGGAATCTGAACCTGAGTTATCTTCTCCCAGACTCCATATTCTTAATCATGGCACAATATTGCTTCCCTCATGGGACTGCTATGAGGTTAACTAGACAGTGTATATAAAAATGCTTTGTAAAACTGTAAGGAGCTATTTAATTCAATTCCATTCAAACTGAGAGACAGGGATGATACAAATATAAATGGTAACCTAATAAATAATATTTAAAATATACAGTAACCCAAATAATGACTACATGTCCATTATTTGGTAATACATTATCTTACACATATAATAAAATGCATTATCACCACCATCATCGTCTGTAATTTGAGAGAAACAATGATTTGTGAATAGGGGAACTACTGAGAACTTCTCACATCACACCCTTACACAGCAGACCAACCCTGCTCACTCATCTTCGCCATCTACCCATAAACTACTCCAAGAAACAAACATTCAGAAAATGCCCATCATCTTAAGAAGCTTTTGTGAAAAACTCATTACTGTGTCTTCTGTTACCATGCCCTTGAATAAAATCCTTAGTCTGTGATTTTAAAAACTAATCTTCATTTTTGGTTTCAAGATTCGGAAATGGCTAAGAGCTGATATGACTTTCTGCATCTGTTTATCACTGTAAAAGCCCAGCCCACTTCTGTTTTCCTTTCTTCTCTAAGGGTGCTGGGATGGGGTTTTCCCCTTTTAAAAGAACATATTAATTTTATAATCACACAAACATACACACAAAAGAGATTTGTGTGTATGCAGAAAATGGGGAAAAATACATCATTATTTTTAAAAACAATAAGCATTACCTGGTTTAATTGCATAGGCGTCAAAATTTTTTATTCCTTCTTCTTTTAAGATATTTTCATCAATGATAAAGTTGCCAGTAAAAGTTTTAGGCTTTTTGAAAATGGAATATGCAGCATCTGCGATGATGTCAACTTTTCGACACTGGCTTTCAATACCTGATCCTCCCAGCATATCCATGGCGGCGGTGTGTATGGCTGTGGAGAAAACATACACACCCTTAACTCCAAATCAAGTAACAGGACTACGATAGTAACCAGCAAGATGGCTGGGCCCTTTGTTTCTCAGGTAATGAAAACAAGATCCAGAGCTTGAAGCATTTGCTAAATGTTCTACTGACATAACAGGGTAGAAGACACATTTTCCTTGCTCTACACCATGGTGCCTTACACAGAACTCCTTCATGAGGCTCACAGCAAAATTCAATTAGACTTTTCTGATTTAGAATACTTAAGAATCTGCACACCATTCTTCAGAGTCAAGAAAGCCAGTAAGATATAATAGAAAGAACAATGAGCTGTAAGTCAGGTGACTGAGATTTTTATGTCAACCACGCCATGATTTTTTGGAAAACCGTATCTTTCTGTCTCAGTTTCCTGTTTCTAAACCATGGAGCTCCTTTCTTAACCTTACTGTCTCTCTCTCTCTCTCCTCTCTTCTACAATATAGCGACTTGCTGTTTTTCTTTTTCATCACTGTATGCCCAGTGCCTAAAACAATGACAAACACACCACAAGAACTCCATAAGTAGAGGTTAACAACTGGATCCATCAAAACATGAAATTCACTGGTGACTTTTGGAAAAGAACACACACGACCTGTAATGAAAGCTGATGCAGCTCAGATCGTAAGAATCCTGAAGGTGACCCTAAAACTTGAGTCTTATTAAGGAGTAACTGGGAAAGCTACTCTAGCAGCTTCAGATTGAGTCTCCTAATTACAGCTTGCTCAAAACAAACAGTAACATGAGTATTAAAATCAATGAAGATTTCCTTTCACATACACATATGCGTTGCATATCAGGCCTAAAACGTCAGCATCGCCTTTGAGTCCTTCTTCTCTGGGGAGAGAGCTTATCTCACCTCTTTAACACCGGCCAGCCCCTGCCAAGCACACATATATTCTTCTGTGCACTGACTAAACCAAAGGCAGCACTCATTATAAAGTGTACCACTGAGAAAAAAAACTCCTTAAACTATGATATATCATCAGCTGTAAGAGCAACCTGATATCAAAGATGTGAAAGTGTAAAAGCACGGGCATCTCAGAATTAATGAAATATGGTATAAACTGCCACGAGAAGAAGACAGAAAGTAGATCCTTTGAAGAACAGGTAAACTACTTTTGGTTTTTAGCAACAGAGAAGTTTGTCACCTTGTCACCTTGGCCTCCCTGGTTAGTTGAGTTCCCACATCAATTTGTAATGTGGTCCACATGACTGACAGAGGACTGAAACTGTTCTGAGACAGTACTGCTATCTTCCTCTCTGCTGCCGGGACTGAGATCAGTAGCTGTCATTCCTTCCCAGACTCCAAGCCACATGACATCTACCCCAGAGTGGACCTCCCTCCTCTTTCACACTTGTTCTGACCAGTCAAGAGGTGAGAAGCAGCAGGCATTTTGAATAGCAGCCCTCATCCCTCCTCTCTGCCCCTACCCTCCATTTCGGCAGGAACTATGAAATGGATTTTATAAAAAGAAAAAAAAATTGTATTTTTGAAGGTGACCTAGTTGGGGGCCTGAGAGCCTGGTGTTGTGAAACTACTAGAAGCCTGCACACTGATCTCCAATCAGTGTGATCAGCTAACTTCAGTGGGGTCAAAGTTCTAGGCTCAGAGGGGTAATGCAGCTGGTGCAGAGGAGGCATGCAGAGCAAGAGAGGATGAACAGTAGACCAGGACACTGCTTTGATTGTTGATAATATGTTACACTGTACCCATTCCATTAGGTGCAATAAATCTCCTTTTCCTTAAAGGGCAGTAATGTTGGGAGATTACTTCAGGTTCCAGTAGGCAGAAAGAGAAAGCCACTGTACACAATCTAAAAAAATAAGATTCCTCTTCCTAAATAGAGATCTAACAAAGAGCTAGGGGTGTGGATACTCTCTCAAATCCATTTTCATTGCCTCAGTCATAAATAATGCCATATCTTAGCTAACTTTCCTGCCTCCACTCTCCATAGTCTTACAAGCCATCCTATATTCAGATTCCAGATTAAATGTCATCAACAGTCATGTCACTCCACCGTTCCTGTTTTCCCTATACTTATTATTGTTCTCCTGCTTCAAAATTCTGAAGTGGTTTTCTACTGAATGTAGGTTAAAATTCAAACTCCTAAAACTGGCAATCAAGACCTGGGACTTAGTTCCTCCAGCTTCCCTCACTACTTCACACCCACCCAATATTCCAGTCAATCTGAACTACCTGCAGTTGCTCAAGTTCTGTAGAATACAGAAAGCCTACACCCTACCACGCAGACACCAGTTCAAACTCCTTGTAGTTCCACCAAACACCTTCCCATACTATAGCCTTTCTGGTTCCTTCCCTCTGCCTGAAATGTTGTTCCCTCTGTCGAGAACTATTGGAAACTGCCCTGCCTGGTTTCAGAAGCTAACCCCCTCATGGCTTCTTTGGACCATAAGCCACTAAGGAGACAAAGCTTTTACTTCACCTTACCTGGCCCCCAATGCTTGATCAATTAGCCAATGACGGGTAAGATTCCTCAAGGGAGGGACGACCTAAGACAGACATGATCATCAGGGCCCCCAGGAAAGGACTTGGGGGCTACAGAAAAAGGGGGTCATGGACCCTCATTCCTTGGCTTTGACATAGCCTGAGTCCTCATTCTGTCTGCAAGAAGTCTCCTAATCTCTTGGCTGCCTTACTTCCCCTGCCTGCCTTAAGCCTGAAACAATGCCGGTGATGGGTGCAGCCCGGTGCTGGAAAGGGTGGGTTCCCTAGGGTGATCAGGCCTAAGAAAGAATGCACAAAATCCTGTGAAGCCTACTTTGGTAATACCCTCAATTTAAATAATAAGGGACCAAGCAGGAAGTGAGTTTGTTCCCCAAAGTTTTATGGACCTTTAACTATCTGACCCTGACTCAGAATAAGCCCTCAGAGTTCTTTGAATGTTATCTATTGTTTAATCATTTCTGCCTGACAATGATCGATGAGCTTTACATAGACACCCTGTATTCTTATGCAAACTGAATCCAATAAAAGTCTGTCAAGCCAAGGGTCAGGATGCTCTCCCCTTGAGAGAGTGGCCACGCCATCCCTTTTCCTTCACGGGCCTTGGTAGTCCATGTGAATTTGTCTCCTAGCTCATCTACAATGCTGTGGACACTGTGGGCCAGTGATTGAGTCAAGGAACACCTTGCCCAGTACTTCTAACTCCAACATCCCTTAAGTTCTCATTTCAATTGTTTACCTCTGTTAGGAAATCTCCTTTCCTGACCATCAACTTGAGACACAGCGCTCCTGCTTTGTTTCAAAAGTATTGAGTACAAGTATATGGCATAATGAATTATGCCATGTTTCACAAGGAACATGGCTGTAGATTGAATTTACTGTGCCAATAAATCTAGAACCCAAATAATACCAATGGTTCCAAGATGTCTAGTAAACCTTCTAAAATGAACATCTCAAAGCTAAGATCTTGGCATTCAGTGACCTCTGTCCATCCTGATACTGTCCTCCACGTTCCCTCTCACATAATGTCCTCCTCCTTTCTTACATAAGCTTTGTTCGGAATGTCTATTTTGAAGCTAGGCAAAAGATATGCATTTATTGATTCATCAAATATTTACTGAATATCTATAATGACCATAATAAAATAAACAGACATTTTCTCTCAAGCTTTCATTTTCACGTTACACTCCAGTTAAAAAATTAATAATTTATTTACAAATATTGTAAGTGACAGAAGAATATGTACAGACTACTATAGTAAATCCAATATCAGGCCCCATCTTATAAAAACTATCAGCAATATTTGACACAATTGATAATTCTTCGTTGAAACACTTTCTTCAATTGGCTTGGGATCCCATGTTGTATGAATAAAATCTAAAATCTAAAATCTCTAGAGTAGAGACCAGGCTTTTTCCAACTTTGTTACCCCAGGATTTCAAAAACCTAAAGATTCAGGAAATGGATGCAGGGAGGGAAGGGCCAAGTGCGATCGATGGAAACAGTTTTTTATCTCCCACACTACATGGTAAACCCTTTGAGGGGACAGACTGCATCACATCTACCTTAGTGCCCCCTAATGCCTTGTCCACAGCAGATGATAAATTGTCTGTTAATATATAACAAGTTAATAGTACAGAGAACTGTGCCTGGAATATAAAAATGTTTGCCAGATGAACAAAAAGAAAGTAACAAGTAACATAATAACAGAGGTACAAGAATATTGTATTAGGACTTTTGTTATCTCAGAGTCCTTCCTTTCTGCCTGCCTAACTCTCACTATCTATTAACTTTAGTAACAGCAATGTTTGACTTGGGAGCAGGAGGTCGAGTAGGAAAGGAAGTTGAAAAAGGTCACAGTAAAGTACAAACTTTTAAAGTCTCTGACTCTGATTCACACTAAGTAACACTGTTTACCAACATGACTAAGAATGCATAATATATACTAACAAATTTTATTTTTATATATTTATATATGAAATACTGACCCTTACTATGTGTAGTACTCTCTAATATTTCCTATTTTATTCCATTAGAAAGAAAACAAAACAACAAAAAATCATTTAGCCATCTGCTGCCTACTAAATCAATTCCACAATCCACTAAACTGATTTCATGCCTCACTAAATCAATTTCATGACTCACCAATGAGTCTTAGCATACAGTTTGAAAAATATTGTAGAAACACTTTTTCCCTCTTACCTTTTACCCCATTGCAAAGAATATTCCTATCCAGAAAATCTTAAAAGAACTGTGTATGATACAGAAACATAGGAGAAACAAAGAAGCAATAAAAAATGGTTCTGATCCCAGGGTGGACTGGGAATTTAAAGGAATCTTGGTCAAATTACAGAAGAAAGGAAGCAATTTTAACAATTGATTCCTGGAGTCCTTAGAAGAAAAGAAAGATGGAGACCAGAGAGCTGGCTGCAACAGTTAAATTTCCTGAGAGTCACATCAGCAACATGCCCCAGTGCTCCGTATTTTCTCCCCCGCAGCCCAGCCCC